TACATACATACATACATACATACATACATACATACATACATACATACGTATTTATACATGGATTATTTTGAAATGAGGTCTTGGCTCAATACACACTGCTGTATTTAAACCCTGCCGTCTCACTGCATAGTCTCACACTTGAACTTGACACTTAAGTCTATTTTCACTTGATTTTAAAAAAAGAATGCGTGAATTCTTTGAGGCATGGCCGACAGAGGTTGTCGTGATCGAGAGTAAAACTGTTACGTCTCATCAAGCAGATGCACCCTCAGACCAAAAATACTTTCAAATACCGAAAGTCAAATGAGAACCACGACCAAATGCTTTTTTCCTCGTATTGGAAATAACGAAAGCCATCTAAAGCGGTTGGCACGAACTGTTAAAAAGCAGTTCGTGGTTAGGGTCTCGTGTTGTAAAACCCATTGAAAATACATTTATTAAGCGATGTATTTCTGTAGGAGGGAGGTTTCTGGGCCACAGTTTGATTGATGTACTTCTCCAGTACCACGCGAGTTTTGAAGCTAATGCCAAAGGAAGATGTTACATCACCAGAAAGGCATCTGCAGAGCGGAGAGAGCACTCGGTCTTACTGTACGCAACTATCAACGCCAATACGACTGTGAAACGATGGTCAGTCCGTGTGAACGCCAGTTTAAAGGCGTTTGCTTCTGAAATACAAGGCCATAGATTGCGATGCACCACCAGCTAAGGGTTGTGTTTCCAAAGAGATAGCTATCTTTCTCCACTTTTAATCATTTCCCTATCCAAATCTTAGCCTCGGAGAGTTGCATCACGGTGTTTTTACAGCTTGTCCGAGCCGACTACCAATAGAATGCGTACAGAAGTGGTCCGAAAGAGGACGGCGAAAGGTCGTTTGGTTTTCAGAGCAGCAGTGGGTTTAATCTCCTGCTGTAACATGGGGGGTTGGAAGGGGGCCGGCTCTCTGAAAAAAGGGGGGTGCAAAGGGAAAGTACAACCGGAGAGGTGGAACTGTACACAACTTGAAATAGAACACGGCGGTTGGCAGTCAAAGTCGGGACTTTAGAGGGGGGGGCGGGGGTGAGGGCGAGAAAGGAGATATGGGCTGAAGATGTTACTTTTCTGTGTCTGGCAGCCACATAATGGTTGCTCATCTTCTGTTGACCAACTTCCCTACTTAAGACAGCGCGAGAAGCCATTTTGATTGGCGGGATTATGAAGAAAGGTGGAGCTGGG